CTCTATTCTATCCCACTTTTAAATACATATATTTTCCTCCACAATACTACAATGTCTTAACTGATGTAGTTACACACTAAGTCTTAAAATCACTAGTGTGATTCCTCCCATTTATTGTTTCTTTTCAAAATTGTTTTAGCTGTTTTAGTACATTGTCTTTTGATATAAATTTTAGAATGATAATATCTACAAAAAATATTCTGGCTTTTGATAGGAATTTCTTTACATCTGTAAGTCAATTGCAGAAAAAACTGACATATTTGCTGTGTTGAGTTTTCTATTCTATGAAGAAGGGGTGTATTTTCCCTTATGTAGGTCTTTTTTTTTTTCATGTGTTCTGTAATTTTCAGTATAAATACCATGCACATGGTTTTTAAAATTTAAACCTAAGTTTCTTCTTCTCTTCTTTTTTTTGGTTATTGTTTGTGGTATTGTGTTTTTAATTTGAGATTCCTATTGTTCTTCTCACTATACACACACACAGGCAGGAACACACAAACCCATGCTCATGCACATTCTGTATTTACTTTATACCTGTAACCTGGCTAAACTCACTTATTTATTCTAGGAGTTCTTTGAAATTGTCTACATAGACATCATGTCATCTGCAAATAATCTCATTTCTTTTCTGATCTGTATAACTTTCCCTCCGGCATTCACTCCCTCCCTCCCTCCCTCCGTCTCTCTCTCTCTCTCTCTCTCTCTCTCTCTCTCTCTCTCTCTCTCCCTGTTTACACTAGCTGATACATCTAGTACTATGTTGAAGTAGTGATGAGAATGGATAGCTTTGCCTTGTTCAAATCCTAAAGAAAAAGCATCAGTCTTTTACATTAAGTATGAAGTTTGCTGTAGATTTTTGATAAATAGTTTTTATCAGGTTGAGGATGTTCCTTTCATTGGACTTTGGATTATTCCTGCTTTGCTAACAGACTTTATCCAGAATGAATGTGAGAATTTTTATGCCATGAATCTTTCTAAATTTATTTAGACTTTATTGTCCCAGAATATGGTCTATCTTGGTAAATGTTCTGTGTGAACTCGGTGGAACACATAAATCTATAAATGCAGTTAAATCGATTACATAATAGTGTTGTTTAAATATTCTCTATTCTTACTGATATTTTTTCCTCTATTTCTACTAAACAGTGACAGTGGGGAATTGAATTTTCAGGTGTAATTTTGAATTTGTCAATTGATCCTTTAGGTTCTTCTGTTTTTACTTTTTACCTTTTGAAGATCAGTTATTTGGTGCTAAAACACTAAAATTACTATGTCCTCTTAATAAATTGACATATATTATGAAATAATCTTCTTTATGCCTGGTACTATTTTGATATAAAATCTACTTTGACTTTATTAATATAACCATAAAAGTTCTCATTTGTTACAATGGCATATATTTGTATATGCTTTTACCTTTAATCTATCTATACATTTATATTTAAAAGGCATTTCTGCAGACAACATGTAATTAGTTGGCTCTTGCTTTTATATCCAATCTGACGATCTGTTTTTGAGTTTATGTATTTGGACCCTTTAACTTTACAATAACCATGTGAAAACAATCCAGATGCCAAAACCAACAACAACAACAGCAAACAATAAAATAATCTTTGACTCTTTTTTTTTTACCTGCCTTCTTTTGGAATAATATAGTATGTTTAAATATTCAGTTTTGTCTCATTTTTTAGCTTATTGTCTATAACTTTTTGTTTTATTACTCTAGTGGTTGATTTAGGGTCTAATTTTTGCATATTTAACTTATCAGAGTTTACTTTCAAGTGATATTCTACCACTTTATGCAATGTATAAGAGCCTTAAAATTCTATCATTCCATTTCTCCCTTTCTGACTTTTGCAAAATTGTCACTTCTGGGTCAGTTTCAAATGATTAAATTATCTCCTCATGGTGAATCATATTTCTATGTTACTTTGAATGCCTTGTAACTATTTACTAAATGCTAGATATTGTAAGTTTTATGTTGTTGGGTTGCGTGTGTACATTGTGTATTCCAGTAAATATAATATTATTATTATTATTTTATTTATTTATTTATTTATTTATTTTGGTGACCGGTAAGGGGGTCGTAACCCTTGGCTTGGTGTTGCCTGCACCGTGATCAGCCAGTGAGCGCACCCACCGGCCATCCCTATATAGGATCCGAACCCGCGCCCTCGCGCTCCCAGCGCTGCTGCGCTCCCAGCGCCGCACTCTCCCAAGTGAGCCACGGGGTTGGCCCCCAGTAAATATACTTGAGCATTGCTCTGGGGCATTTCTTGGAAACAGCTTTATTCTTTCACATCTTGACTGTGGGTCAAGATATAACATATTAGTTAGGGGGACTCATATGCTGTATATAACCTAGGACCAATTGTTTCCTGAAAGTTTACCAGTCTGTATAATGGAAAGAGGCTTTATTCCCAACCACATGTGAGCATGAGGCATGTCCAATCCTTTCGGGTAATTCTGTAGCCTCAGTTTCTAAACCCAGATGCATTGCAGTATTCTTTGCCAATCTCCAGAGTTTTTTTTTTTTTTTTTTTTTTTTAAAGATGACCGGTAAGGGGATCTTAACTCTTGACTTGGTGTTGTCAGCACCACGCTCACCCAGTGAGCCAACCAGCCATCCCTATATGGGATCCGAACCCGGGGCCTTGGTGTTATCAGCACCACACTCTCCCGAGTGAGCCACAGGCCGGCCCTCCAGAGTTTCTTCTCTGAGCAATTCTCTCTTCTCCAGACCTCTGGTCTAGAAAATTGGGCTATCTTATTTGTCCACACTCTCAGTCCATCATTTCAACTAAGAAGGTCTGCCAAGATCCTTATCACACCACAGTCTGGAAGTGCTCTCAAAGCAGCAACCTGAGGCAACAGTAAAGCTCATGTCATTGTTTTGCATCTCTCAGGTAGCACTGTCCTTTATTGTTTGATATATGCTATCTTGCAAACCATTATTTACATATTTTGTTAATTTTTTTTTTTTTTTGCTTTTACCTGTGCTAAGACGTGATAGTTGTTAGTTTTTTCAGGGCATTTTGATATATTCTTCCTTCTCAATCATTACTATTTACCTGGCTGTATGTTCCTAGTTGGCAATATTAAGGTGAATAAAAAACAATGTAATAAAACCGACATAGAAAAACGTACAAGTGAACAAGCTGGCATTTCTAAAGCTAAAGGGAAGGACATAATTGATTAAGCACAGTGTCTGTAGGAGTCTTGATGGGGTTCGGCCACTGCATGTCGATGAATGAAAGATTATACACATAAGAGCCTTATTTTAGACTTATTTTAAAAGCCCTTCTAGAATTATGAAGGCATAAATTTTATTCACGTAAATTTAAAATCAAAAACTAAATTAATTTGTAAACGAATTCACAAATGTAGTTATATTCTTTTTTGTTTTGTTTTGTTTTTGTGGCTGACCAGTATGGGGATCTGAACAGTTGACCGTGGTGTTATTGGTACCACACTTTCCCGAGTGAGGTAACTGGCCAGCCCTTTACATTATAGTAATTATTGTTATGAATCAGATTTTGATTCAGAGTCATGGGTATTTTAATACCTCCACTGTCATATGAAGAATAATGGCAATGGACATGTCATAATTAAAGAAGCTTAACCTTTATCTGTGTGATTTACACCTTAACTGTTGACATCCATTTTGCAAATGTTGATGCAGGTGATCTTACCAGGTGACCACAGGATAAGTTCATCCATGTGTAGACAACAGAAACCATGTCATGGCTGCCAGTATACTAACAGAGATTATGATAAAATTTGAAAAAACAAATGCACATAATAAAATTGGTGAAATATGGTAACTAATAAGAATTTTACAAAAAATATTTACCAAGGGGGCCACATTAGAGGTGAATGAGTAGAGGTGAATCTTGGAGAACAAGATTTTACTTGGTCTAGGAATGCAAAACCATCTAGCAGTAAAGAAGAGGTGCAGATGGGGTAAGAAGCAGCAGGACCCATAAGAGGGTCTGTAGGGTGGTTTGAGAATGGGGAACAGGGAGGAGAGACTTGAGGGGGAGTCAGGGTTCATGTCCTGTCTTGAGAACAGAAGGTAACAAAAGAAACACGTTAGTTTTCAAGTTCAAACCCTCTTCGTATTGAAAGAGAGAAGTTATTGTTGGCAAATAGGCAGGAATATAAGTGAGGATATTGAGAGATTCATTAATTCATGGGCGAAATTCAACGTAAAGGAGAATCTTCTGTGTTGTTATTTGTCCAGTACATGTGGGGGGCTCACAGGGGATCAACATAGACAACGTTTTCATAGTCTCTGAAATTTCACTCCAGTGGAGATTCGGAAAACGTCACTGACACTGCTCTGCAGGTGCAAGAGCTGCACTTGGAACTCAGAACACAGGCAGGAGACCTGGAATGGGAAGGACGAGGAAGCCTCTTGGAGGAGGAACACGGAGGAGCCTCTGCAGGGTGAGGAGCAGCGAGTCAAGTGCACAGGGGAGGGAAAGAGGAGAGGAAACGTGTGTCCGTGGCACAGACCAGGGCGTGGGAAGAGACCGTGGATGTGAAGGACGCTGGGACAGGGACAGGTGACGGTGGCAGGAGCAGGAAGGGTAGACATTGGTGGGATTGGGCAGTGAGAGAGGACAGGCAGGAAGTGACGCAGGGACAGCTGCACAGGCGTGCGTTCTACGTGGAGGGGCTTTGAGTGTCGGGGTCTTGTTCCTGGAATCCTCACCCCAGCCCACGAGGTCTGCCTGCCGGGAAGACAGAAGGACTGAGGACTTTCCCTGTCCACTGGGGAGGTCCCTGGGCATTACCAGGAGAGGTTGTGTCTGGGGAGAAGGGAGGGTAGAGAGGGGCAGGGAGGACCCCCAGGCTGATGGGTGGGCAGGCTCAGGGACCTTGGATACTTCTGTTCGCCTCCCATCCCCCATCGCTCAGACACCCACCCACCTTGAGTCCCTCAGACATTTCTCAGGTGTATGTGGCATCCGTGCACTAGAAAATTCAGAGCGGCAGGCCCAGGACGCCACCTACTGTCCGCAAGCAGCTTCTGAGAGCAGCCTAACAGGAAACTGCGGGTGACGGGGCGAGAGCGCGCGTCTCCGCGGCTGCGCAGAGAAGGGGCTCCAGGGGGCCGCGCAGGTGAGGCGGGCAGCGGGCCCTGAGGTAGGCACTGGAGTCGGTGGGCCGAGGCGGGCGGTGGGCAGCGGGCTGGCCTTCACGGGGCGTTTCTCCGCATCCATGCACAAGTTCATACGTCTGTGTCTGCCTGTCCTCTTACGTGTTCTTTGATAACCTAATACAAACCGTACAATTTTCTCGCGTGACAGAGTGTATCGTGCATTTTGAAGTTCTTCTATGACATATTCCCTTATACATTTTATTTGTAGCAATACCTAAATTTCCTATTGGTGAATTATTCATATTTAAAGTATTGCTCTTTGTAAAACAAAGGGAACTGCCGCACATTGTATGCGTTTGGTTAATCATTTCTAAAGAATAGCATCTCCTCATTTCTGGAGGGAGACACCTCTGCATGCGCTTCAGCAAGGATTCTGTCTGGGGTGTCGTGTATTCCTTATTAATTTTGGACTTCTCTGTTCTGGGAACTATTAAGCTTCCAATATTCGTTTGAAAAATCCAGTTGCTCTATCTTTTACTTTGTTTTTACTGTCTTTACCATATAATTTCTTATGCCTACTTTGCATTTAATTTCTCTTCTTTCTCTAGATTCATAAAGTCGAAACTTAGATGATTGCTTTTCACTCTTCCTTCCTTTCTAAAACTGAAAGGTATGTTTTGTTCCATCCATTTGTGGATAATTTATGTGTTTTCATATTTAAAGTGGGTTTTTTGTAGACAACATGTATTTGGGTCCTTTTTTGCCCCCCATATACTCTGACAGTCTGTGATTTTAATTGGTGCATTTAGAACATTGACATGCAGTGATTATTGATGTAATTGGATTAATATCAACCATGCCAGTTACTGTTTTGTATTTGCTGTCTATGTTTTTGCTCCTATTTTTGTATTTGCTCTTTCTGTTTTGTGTGGTTTTAATTGAATAATTTATATAATTCCATTTCTCTCCTTTTTTAATATATCAGTTATATTTTTACACTTTTTTTAGTAGTTCTATAGAAAAAAATACTTTTACTTTTCCTATTGTTAATTGGTCTAGCAGATATGAGCTGGTTGAAAATAATAAGAAAAACATGTATTTGATTATGCATATTTACATATATATCATATATTTATTACATTAAGTATCATATATGTGTAAGTATTATGTTATATATGCTATATATGTAACATTTTTATTAAAATGTACTCACACTGTTTGGAAAGTGATATGGTGATATTTGAAAGAAGGCTTGGATTTGCTGTAAACGTAAATTGTAAACTATAGAACAGGGTGTTGGACCAGGGCCTCAGTTCCTTGCTGGCTGTTGATCAGAGGCTGCACTCAGTTCCTTGCCATGTTGGCTTCTCCCATGACAGATGCTTCATTAAAGTCATTAGGGGAGAGAGTTTGTTAGCAAGACAGAAATCACGATCTTATGTAACATAATCATCCAGATGACATCCCATCATATTTGCATTACTCTGTTGTTTCAGACAAGTCATTGTTCTGCCCACACTTACAGGGAGTTCATTAGAATACAAGGCTGTGTATACCAAGAGGTGGGGATCGTTGGGTGCCATCTTTGGGTCTTCTTCCTACATGAGGTCCTGTCCAATCTGCAACAGTTTCTCAGTCTTCACTTGTTTTTCATGTCCTTGACCCTTTTGAAAAGTATTGGTCAAGTATTTTGTAGAATTTCCTACAATTTGGATTTGTGGGATGGCTTCTTATAATTAAACTAGAGATATGGATTAATTTAGAGACACATTTCTATATGTTTGAAGGCAAAACAAACTGAACAGTATATTATTTAGAAATATAAACTTAGAGAGAAAAATAAAGAAAAATAAGGGACAAATAGAGAATTCAAAGTAACTGAGTAAAGAGGACTATGAAATTGGGGCAATGTGCTTAGGAGGCATCAACATTGTTGCTAATGTTCTGTTTTTTAAGGTCAACAGTGATTTTAAATAAATAAACTTTTTAAAATTAAAAATAGTTTTAGATTTATAGAACAATTGCAAAAACGAATATAGTACAGACGATTTCTGTATACCCTCAAAACAGTTTCTCATATTAGTGACCTTTTACATTAGTGTGGGAAATTTGTCACAATTAATGAAATAGTATTATACAATATGATTAACTAAAACTCACGCACTATTCAGACTTCTTTACTTTTCACTTAATGTTCATTTTCTACTCCACGATCTCATCGAGGACACCTCATCACATTTAGATATCATGGCTGCTTAGTCTCCTTTTGGCTGTAACAGTTTCTCAAATTTTCCTTGTTTCTGATGACGCTGACATCCCTCATTTGAAATTTCTGTTATGTTTTTCTCACGATTAGACTGGATTTAAGTGTTTTGGGGAGGAAGACCATGGACAGGAAAAGACGTTATCATCAGATCATATCAAGGGTATGTACTATCAACACGATTTATCACTTTTGAAATTAATTTGATCACCTGGATGAAATATTTTTGATCATATTTTTTCACTGTCAAATTACTCTTTTTTCCCTTTCCATGTTGCAGTTTTTGAATAGTCACTATGCACACACATACTTAAGAAATTGAGAGTTATATTTCACCTCCTTATGGACAGAGAATCTACAAATATTTGGAATTCTTTAGCACGGATAATTTGTGCATTCTCCACCATTTTTTATTTTTATTGATTCATTTATCGATATCAGTATGGAATCATGGATATTTATTTTACACTCTGGTACTTATTTATTTTATTGCTCAAATTGTTCCAGTGCTGACCTCTGGAAAGTCCTTCTTTTGGCTCCTGTAACATTTTGAAATATCTACATTATTTTGATGTGATTTTGTTTGTTTGGATGGTGGGTTGTGTTGTTGTTTAGCATTTTCTTACTTTCTGGAACTACAAGGTGCTTCAATCTAGTGATGTTCATTCTGTGTTCAACATTGCTATCTACAGTTGCTTCAAGGAGACTTGGTTCCTTTTATTGGAGAGTGGTATTAGATACTAAGATCTGGATACCAGATGTATTCATCACTTCTGGGGCATCTGTTCATTCCAAGCCTTAGCTGACAGAGCAAAGAAATATATCTGTGTGTCTTACTCACACTTATGCACATTTCTATAACTATTTCTTCATGTGTCCATATATACCTATATTAAGTTTAAGGTGAATTCCAACTAGTGTCTCCAGCAGCACATGATATAGTCCAGTAATATGTGATCAGTCTACCCATTCCCACTTAATTGTACATAGCCTCCTACTCTGAACAGTGAGAAAATTGGCTCCAATAACTTAATTATTCAATCCCAAAATAGATGCATAGTGGTTTCTGAATTGGTAATCCATATCCCCATGCTGAACAGCTTTATAATTAAATAAATTGCTTAAGTCTATCTTCTTTGTCCTTTAGACTTAGAATTGCCACTTATTTCCTGAGTTACTTGAGTCAGCCCCATTTTCCCCACTACCTTCAGTGAGGTTATTTCATGCATTTGTAATACAGGTCTATAATTTTGTCAGCATTACTTCCTGGGTCCTTCCTGAGGTTCCCCCAACCTGCTAAATATAAATATATATATACATATACACACACACATAAATACATATATTTAATTTGTATACATTTATGTTTATTCTTTGTTTTATAAATTTCTCTAGGATTTCAAAAACATCTTGTATCCACTATTAGTATGTCACAAGGAATATTTTCACTGCCCTAAGAAAATCCCCTGTATTTTGCCTATTTTACCTTCCTGTTTTCCAAGCCTTTGCTAACCTCTAGTGTGTTTACTATCTCCATAGTTTTGCCTCTTCCAGAGTGACATATAAATGGAATTACGAAATATGTAGTCTTTTCAAACTTGATTCTCTCACTTAGCAACAGGCCTTTAAGAAGTGTATCTCATGATTTGTGAAGTGTATCTCATGGTTGTTTGGATTGGCATTTCCCTAAGGACTAAAACTATTGAGCATATTTTTATGTGTTTATTGGACATGACTATGGCTTCTTCGAAGAAATGTCTATTCAAATAATTTACCTATTTTTAATTGGGATATGTGCCTTTTTTATTTGAGTTGTAAGAATCTTTTATATATTCTGGATAATACACCTTTACCAGCTATAGAGTTTGCAAATATTTTGTCCCATCTTTTGGGTTGCATTTTCACTTTTTGATGATATACTTTGATTCACAAATAATTTTAATTCTGATTAATTTCAGTATATCTATTTTTTTCTGCCACTTGTGTTTTTGGTGACATATCATAAAAACTATTGTTTAAACCAAGTCTGCCAAGATTGATTCATATATTCTCTTCAATGGGTTTTGTAGTTTTAGCTCTTGCGCTTTGCTCTGTGATCCATTTTAAGTCAATCATGTATGTGGTGTGAGGGAAGAGTTCAACTTACATGTGTATATCCATTTGTTCCAGCAATATTTGTTGAAATAAATTGTTTTCCTGATTGAATTGCCTTGGCAACCTTGTAAAATCAGTTCACCATAAATGTAAGGGTTGATTTTTGGCCACAGTCTATTCCATTGACCTGTATATCTGTCCTTATACCAGTATCACAATGTGTTTTTTACTAACACTTTGTAGTTAAGTTTTGAAGTCATGAAGTGTGAATCAAGTATCCAACTTTGTTCTTTTTTTTTTTTCAGGATTTTTTTGACTATTCCAGATCTTTTGCATTTCTATAAGAATTTTAGAATTAGCTTGTTAATTACTACAAAAAAAAATGACACAGCTGGGCTTTCAATAGGGACTGCATTGAATCTGTAAATTCCTTTGGAAAATATTGCCATTTTGACAATGTTAAGCCTTCTGATCAATGAACTTGGGGCATTTTTTCAATTTTACTTTCTTTTAATTACTTTCAAAATTTATGTAGTTCTCAGTGTACATATGTTACACTTATTTTCTTAAATTTATTTGTAAGTATTTTTCTTTCTTGATTCTAGTTTAAATTAATTTCTTTTCTTATTTTCATTTTTAGATTCTTAATTGATAAGAGTATAGAAATATCATTGCATTTTTTAATAATGACTATGTATTCTACAACCTTGCTGATTTTTTTTGACATTTTAATTATATTTTAGCAGATTCCTTAGGGTATTCTTTCCTTGTTTATTTTTAATTTCATTAAATTATTTATGTTTAATTTACACATGATAATTGTTCATGTTTATGGGGTACAGTGTGATGTTTCAGTGCATGCACACAATATGTAGTAATCAAGTTAGAATAATTAGCATATCTGTCGCTTCTGATATTTATCATTTCTTTGTGGTGAGAACATTTCAAAATCCTTTCTTGTTGCTATTGTGAAATATACAATATATTATTGTTAACTATAGTCACACTACTGTGTACTGGGACACTGGAATTTATTCCTCCCATGTAATTGTAACTTTGTATCCATTGCCCAACCTCTTCCCATCCTCCACCCGCCTTCCCAGTTTCTGGTTAGCACTATTCTACTCTCTACTTTCATGAGAATGCACCCATGTTTATTGCAGCACTATTCACACAGCCAAGATATAGAATCAACCTAAGTGTCCATCAACAGATTAATGAGGAAAGAAAATGTTCTATATTTACACAATAAATAACCAATTCCTGCTATTTGCAGCAACCTAGCTGGAAGTGGAGGTCATTATGTTAAGTAAAATAAGCCAGACACAGAATGATAAATATAAACAAAATCATATCATTTGCAAATAGAGGCAGTTTGACTTCTTTTCCAATCTGGGTGCTTCGTGTTAATTTTTCTTGCCCAAATTACCTATTTACAGCCTCCAGAGTAATGATGAATGGAAGTGATGAGAGTTGGCACCTTTGTATTATTTCTTATCTTTGGGAAAATGTGAGCTTTTGAAGATAGATGCACAAAGTTACGTGAGTTTTCTGTGGATGCTCTTTTTAGCTTAAGAATGTTCCCTTTTATACCCAATTTGTTTAATACTTAACCAAACTTGCATTCTTGGGATAAATTCCCTTGGTTGTAGTGTATAATCCTTTAATATGTTGTAGAATTTGCTTTGCTAGTATTTCCTTAAGGATTTTTGCCTCTATGGGATTTGCCTGTATTGTTTTTTTCTTGTAATGTCTTTGTCTAGTTGTGGTATCATTGTAAACTGGCTTATAGAATGAGTTGAGGAGTAATCTATTCTATTCTCTTTTTAACTGTTTATATGTTTGGAATATTGCAGCAGTGAAGTCTTCTCAACCGGGACAGGGACCTAAATGTTACCAACAGTCATGTGAGCTTGGAAGACTATTCTTTTCCACTGAGTCTTCCGTTGATACCTCGGACTTGGTGGGCATCTACATCTGGATTCCCCAGTCAGAGAAACTGTAAGATAATATGTGTGTTTGGATTTAAGTCACTAAGTTATAGGTAATTTGTTATGCATAAATAAATAATACAACTGACAACTGAATGTAATCAGGTATTCTAGGTTGGATCCTGGAACAAATAAGTGACATTATAAAACCTGGTAAAATATGAAGAAATTTCATAGTTAATAGTTTTGTGATATGGTCGATTTCTCAGTTTTCATAAATATACTATGGTTATATAAGATGTTAACATTACAGGAAGCTGAAGGGTGTATAAAAGTCTTCATACTGTCTTTTCAACATTCTTTATATCTGAAATTATTTCAACATAGAATTGTTTTTTTAAAAAAAACCTGCAATAACAAAGACGTAAGCAAAAAACCTCAGAGTTGGAAGGTGAATGGACCTGTAGACAGAGCACAGCAGAACATGTTTCCTTAGGTATCCACCATTCCAAACACAGGTGCACTTACATCACAAAAACGTGCGCAAGCTCCGCGGATGCTCTCTCCTCCTTTTCCTTTTTCCCCATCGTACTTCCTATTTATCCAGTCACTAGTTCGAGGGTCAGTAACCATGTCTTCAGAGACCAGGTGCCTGTGCCTCAGATAACCCAGAAAGCCCCATTTTCAGACATCCTCGGGCACTATATCTGTAGACTAAGACTTTCCGGAAGAAATGCCTGCTGGACATTAGAAGTCAATATTGAGAAATATTAGTGACAGGAAACATCAATCAACATCAATCACATTTTTGCATTTAGCAGAGAGGTTTTTTTGTTGTTGTTTTTGGCAAATATTCTTCCCTAAGTTTTTTAAAGGCAATTCAACCTTCAAACCTTTGAGGAAACTGTGATAATTATTACTTTTTTTCAATTATCTAGACTTCTTTGACCACTCATTCGGTTTACACTCATATTGTGGCAGTATATTATTCATTGCCCAACTCCAATGCCACAACACAGGTATTGTTATTATAGCAAGTGGACTGTGTGAAGAAAAAGAAAATGAAAACATGATGATTTAAGCCAGCCTCTGCTTAAACATGTGGAAATGAACATTTTGACCTGAGGATTTTGGCAGGTGAAGGCAAGTGAATGACTGTGTTGTGCACAGATGGAGAAATGCTAGAGTGAAAAAGAAAAAGAAAAAAAAGACCAAGCAGATACCACATATGCCCAAACCTCCATGCAGTGATCTAACAGGTAGACACAGGCTGAATGATGACTCTGCACATGTGCTGGATAAACAGAGAATCACACAGCAGGGAGGACTGTCCACTCCTCCCACACAGCTCCCTGTGCACCGCCCACAGCACTCTGCTGGGCACCACCAGGGTTGTGTCCAGGAACTGTGTTTGCAAATCTTATGAAGTCATGGGACTGCATGTGGCACTTCCATGGACCTTCATACCATCAAGACTATTGATTTTATGGTATGTAATTATGGGATATATTCTCCCCACATTTGTAGCTTAAGTGAGAAAATGAGTCCCTGTGGCCTGGAGACCTGGAGTGAGAGAAAGTTGACCTGGACCACTTTTCTCACTTCTGAGATCAGGACAGCAGATATAGGTGCTGTTATTTGAGCATTTTTCATTCAGGGAAACTTCTTACCCCTCCAAGCTCTTATTTCATTCCTCGAAAAAGGATAAGCTTGATTAAATTAATCATCTTAAAATGGAGAGATTATTCTGTTTATTTAATTTTAATTGGAGTTCTTATAATAGCTAAGTGACTTGTCAAATCCCCTTTTCCTTTTTACATTAATGCATACTTTAAAAACCCATCACGATATTTACCCCCAATATCATCCCTCCCAGTGAGCTCTGAGTGCTCAGGGTTAAGAGGGTACAGATGATAGACACAGAACTGTACTAACATGATGTCACAGACAGAGGACGCAGTGTTGAGCACCAAGTTCCCAAACATCACTCTATGACAGCGAGGAAAAAGTGGTTTCCCACAACCTGCTGAACCAAACATTATTTGATTTCAGAGAGTCTGGTCTGCCCACCAGAACTCTTAGAAACATGCCATTGCAAACATCCCAGAGTCAGAGCACACGATGAGGCAAGAACCCACCACTATGTCTCCACATTCTGCCTGAATAGAAACAAAGTCCAGCAAAGGAGTGGCTCATATATGTGAACCAGGCTCATATGCTGTTCACTTAATTGAGCCTTCCTGGAACCTGACATTCTAGATGCGTACACAGTAAATATCCAAAATCATGAATTACAAGATTTTCTTCTAAATTAAATGTATTCATCAGGGACCACCAAAGCCCATTCCAATTTCCAAGTACCCAAAATTAGAGTTAGTCAGAGTAGCAAGTAGGCAAAGCAAAACATTTTATGAAAGCCCCAGTGTATCTACTTCTGCAGTAACTGACGATTAAGTGATTTGTATGATCACCATTGATGTGATTAGAAGGACGAATGGGAAATAAGAAAAAGAGAGATAGACAATTGTTCTGGATTGAATAATTGGATTTGGACCAGAGCTTAGAGGGAGCATTACTCATATGTCTGCGATTAGGGCAGAAATTCTCAAGATACAGCTTTTTCAAAGTCTTCTAAAACTACCACTCTAGTCCACACTTTCAATTAACTTTTTGACATCTCTATCTTCCTTCTCAAAAGGTTTTTTGGACCATGGTTTATAAGATTACCTTTCCATATGTGTTTTGTGTGTGTGTGTGTGTGTGTGTGTGTGTGTTTTTCCTTTCTAATTTGGTCTTGAGACCTCTATCTGAGAAATCCCTGGCTGTTCCTTCATGGTACCCACCAGATTTGGTCATGGATGTTCACAGTGTGCCTTTCATGGGACACTTCTTTATCCTGGCAGATGGCCTAATGCCTAAGTGTCTGACCTGTGACCAAGTGTCCCTCTCATAGGAAACATGTTTATACTGGCAGAAACCCTCATGGCTCTTGTCTGACCTCTATCCACTTTTTTAGACTGAGATAGACACTCTCTAGGAGAGCCCTGAATGGGAAAGAGGTTAGGTTCAGGTGTGTTGGTCAGGTGAGACACAGAGGAGGCAACTCAACAGAAAACATGATGTAACAGAAGCGGAGTGTTACTCACAGGTCTCAGAGAAGAGGGTAGCAGCCTCACAGGACCAACCTGAAGAAGAAGCCATCTGGGACAGGCACGACCAACCAGCTGGTGTGGAGCAAGAGAGAGAGAGACAGAGTGAGGGACCTGAGGGACAAGGCATTACCCATACAGGCTTCCCTGGAAGAGTTCTAATTGGTGGGTTTATGACAAAAATGTTCGAGATGTGTGGCATCACAGTGAGACTGAGAGGTGGTCACTGCAGGACAATTGAATAGTCTATGTGACGTGTGGAGATCAGTGGGATGAAGCAAGCATGTATCCAGCTGTCCCAGAGACAGTGGTCACCAGGGGCAGTTGTATAAGGAGATGTCTGTATCCACCACATTGGGCAGCTGAGAGTGGGGAGAGAACTGGAAACTGTGTCATGCATGGCTAAATCCTGCTTCTGGTATGAGCAATTTAAACCTATATTCAAAATGGATGTCAAGGCAATATAAAATTATAGGAATTCACTGCAGCATTTCAAATAGAAATTTCAGTAGGCCACTAGTACCTCTAACAGCTCTAATCCCTAGGTGGAAGGTAGATAGAGTTGGTCACCTTATATCAAACTATATTTAAGCAGGTTTCCTCAATAAGAGATTAGAATACAACAGACAAACCACCATTTTACACTGAAAAATCGGCAGTCTCTGAGAAAACATAGTGTATTCTATTGATCCTATAGTGCACATTTTATATCTCTATAATAGAAATGCATCTTAAAATTGATATTGTAAAAGCATTACTGTCCAGAAGGCAGTCATAATGTGATTGTCTCATGAGCACATGCACGAACTTGGTCTAAAACCTGTCTATTTGACACATTCTGATGATGTTAGCAACATCAAAATTTGCAGAGGGGGTGTCAGTAGGTCGTGAAGATAATCTTACAGAGAGAAGCATGAGGACCCTCACAAGAAATGCAGCATCACCACAGTATCTTATTAGCACATATGATGATAATGTGGCGAAAATCATGGGCAGGATGAGTTAAAAACTGATTCTGCAGAATTTGTCTCTGAATAGGAGAAATTTCTGGAATATTTTTGTTAATGTATTTTTCTTATAGTTCCCATATCATGAAATCACAGGATTGATATGACAAATTTCCACATTTATATAAGTTGAAGATAGTTTTTTCAATAATTATAAAATAAAAAAAATAAATTATAAGACTTAATGGTGCCATAGATTGTTGGTAGTTTTATTCTTCCACTGTGATGTATAAAGTAATGATACATCTTACAATTGATGTGAATGATAGTACATCCTGAAATTGCTTAGAAAAAAACTGTCAGTATTAACAAATACTGATTAGTAGTTAGTATAGACCTGCTGTCAGTCTACATGCATTATGTATCATTAGTTCATTCAGTCTTCACAACATCTCAATAAGTAGTCACTATTACCACTCCCATGGTCCAGTTCTGCA